ATCTATCTATCTATCTATCTATCTATCTATCTATCTATCTATCTATCTATCGCCCCTTCCTTCATCCATCAATCCCTCTGTCCTTCCTTCTGACTGGTCTCAGGCTTCAGGTCTTACTAATTTTCAGCATCCATCCATCCATCCATCCATCTATCTATCTGATTAACTTTTTGGCAAATTCAATCAAATTTCCCTTCTGGGATCAATAAAATCATCTATCTATCTATCTATCTATCTATCTATCTATCTATCTATCTATCTATCTATCTAGTTAGCTACTTATCTAGCTAGCTAGCTATCTACTTATCCATCTATCTGATTGACTCATCGACTGATCTCCATTCTCTCTGTTTTCTTGCCTTTCTTAGGCCTTAAAAGCGGAGTTTCTGCCGGTCAGGGGAACATCTTCCGCAACACCCCCCAAAGCGACCCCCACGCCACTTTCTCCTCCTTCTTCCACGGCGCCGACCACTTCGACATCTTCGGCGAGGCCGACGGCGAGGAGGACCTCTTCAACCCCTTCCGGCAGTTCACCTTCAGCCACGTCCCGGAGGCGGCGGCCGGCGGCGGCCCCCGCAAACCGCCGCGGCGCCTTCAGGGCCAGGCGGTGGTGCACGAACTTCCCGTGACGTTGGACGATGTGATGCACGGCTGCACCAAGCAGGTGAAAGTCACGCGCAGCCGCCTGGGCGCCGACGGCCGCTCGCTGCGCAGCGAGGACAAGGTGCTGAGCGTGGTGGTGAAGAAGGGATGGAGGTCCGGGACCAGGATCACGTTTCCCCGGGAGGGGGACGAGACCCCCGACAGCAGCCCGGCGGACATCACCTTCGTGCTCAGGGACCAGGAGCACCCCAGTTACAAACGGGACGGCTCCAACATCGTCTACACCGCTCAGATCACCCTCAAAGAGGTGCGTTTTGCTTCCTTTCTGTTAGACTTCACAGTCAGAGTCGTTGTTCTATTTACATCCATCCATTATCGTAACTGCTTATCCCCTAATGGGGTCCCAGAGGGGAAACTGGAGCCCAACCTAGTAGGTAATGGGGAGAGGCGGGGTCACCCTGCACGGTCCACCAGTCCATCACAAGGACACACAGAGACACACAAGGACCAACAAACACACACACTCACACTAACATGCAGGTTTTTGGACGGTGGGAGGAAGCCGGAGAACCCGGAGAGAACCCACAGACACAGGAGAACATGCAGACTCCACCCAGAAAGGTCCTGGTTCCCCCGGGACTCCAACCCAGAACCCTCTGGTCCTGGTTCCCCCGGGGACTCCAACCCAGAACCTTCTAGTTGTGATGCCATGGTGCTAACCACCCTTTTCTTTATTTTTATGCATTTGGCAGACACTTTTATCCAAAGCGACGTACAAATTAGAATATATACAGAATATATACATGTGTATCTCCCCTTCTGGGAATCGAACCCCTGACACACACCACTAAACCACAAAACTAACCCCCATTCTTTCTACATTAATCGGAGAAACAACCATTTGTACAGATGAGATTATGGTCTGGAACAAAAAAAAATAAAAAGAAAGAACACAGTGTTCTGCAGTGGGCATCCGCCCCCCCCCCCCCCCCCAGCAGTCTGCCTCCCTTCCCTCAGAGCGAGAAAAGGCAGCAGCAGCTAAATTTAACCCGCTGCCCACCAGTCGCACTGCAGCCTCTCGGCCCGATCGGGCCCACGCGCCCGACCGCCCCCCCGACCTCCTTATGGCTCGCTTCAGTCGCTGACACTCTCAACTCCCACACGCGGTCGGAAAATAGAACAGCGATTATAACATCTGTAGTTTCATAACGACACGCTCTCGCCTGCTTTTCTGTGAATGGTTATGCAACCGAGATACACATGGATATATTCGGTATATATTCTAATTTGTAAATCCCTTTGGATTAAAGTGTCTGCTAAATACATAAATATAAAGAATAGGACAGCATGGGGGTGTGGTAGTTAGCATCATGTCCTTACAGCAAGAAGGTTCAGGGTTGGAGTCCCCGGGGGAACCAGGACCAGAGTGTTCTGGGTTGGAGTCCCCGGGGGAACCAGGACCTTTCTGGGTGGAGTCTGCATGTTCTCCTGTGTCTGTGAGTTCTCTCCGGGTTCTCCGGCTTCCTCCCACAGTCCAAAAACCCATATCTTAGCTTGACTGGACTCCAAACTTCCCTGCCTTTCGCCCATTGACCACTGGGATAGACTCCAGTCCCCCCCTTGACCCCATTAGGGAATAAGCGGTTAGGATAATGGACGTATGGTTGTTCCACTGCATATCTCTAAGGGCTTCAGGACTAACTCTAACTCTTTGCTTCTCTTCTGTCTGTAGGCTCTCTGCGGCTGCACGGTGAACGTTCCCACTCTGGACAACCGCATGATGCCTTTGCCCTGCAGCGACGTGATAAAGCCCGGCGCGGTGCGGCGGCTGAGGGGGGAGGGGCTTCCCCTGGCCCGGACCCCCTCCCAGCGGGGGGACCTGGTGGTGGAGTTCCAGGTGCTCTTCCCCGACCGGATCCCACCTCAATCCCGCGAGATCATCAAGCACAGCCTGGGCCAGTGTTAGCCCGCTAGCCAGCATGCTAGCATGCTAGCTAGCTAGTTAGCGCCACGTCTGGCTCCATTCACGAGCACAGCCTTGACAACAACGAACAAATAAGGTGCTAAGATCCCAAAACCAATCACAGCCTCTTATTGTGCTTGGACAAGAGGAGTTGAGCTGGATATCTGAGGGGACTTTGGGAGGAAGAGGAGGAGGAAGAGGAGGAAGAGGGGACTTTGGGCCCAATCCGGTCGCGTTGGCACGTGCACGGCGAGCGCGTGCACGGCCAGAAAGGCCTCGGGTGTCTGAGGGGCGAGCATTCTCCGGAATGAAAAGCTTATCTGTACTGTTATACTTGCAAATATACGGCAGGATATCAGTGTGCTATTCGAGTCTGTATAGACTTCCTTAAACGTATATGGTAGAAGTATGCGAAGAGAAAAGCAACTTTCTTATTATTACTAGTATCTTTATTCTCATTAGAGTTATATGGTGCTCATATGACGGATTTTTGCATTGATTTATTACAATAGCAAAGTTTTCTTGTCTACAAAGATCTACTTTGTGTACAAAATGAGAAAATATTGTCTCTAAAAGAGATTCCCTTGTCAATGTTCTATTGAATTATTAGAAACGTTTGTATATACTCTGCAGTGAGAGACGCTGATGTATTATTACCTGATTTTAAAGCATGAAAAATAAAAAAACATCAACAAAATGACCTTTCTGTGATAAGATTTTTCCCGTTTCTCCCTCTAACCATAACACACATCGAGACAAAGTGGAGTTCAGTGTCGTTAAGCCAGAATTAAAACGGAAAATCCCTCCTTATTCTGCCTTTTCCCAACAGCTGCCACTCATTCTGGATGAGTGCTTCCATTTTTATTAATTATCTTCACCAAAAAAGACTGAAGAACAGATTCCTACTTTAGATTAATGTGCATAAAGAAGAAACATGGAGGCCTAATGAGATCCAAGGTGTTTAAAGAAACAGGGAAAGCAGAATTTAGTCATTACTCAGGCTTTTTTAGGATCATTTGCAGGCATTGGCTGTTAGTGGGTAGTTTGCCTGACCTTTAATTTAGCTGCTTCCCCTTGTTTTTTTCACAGGTTTCTCTGGTTTTGGCTTTATTTGTAAGTTATTAAATACTAAATTCAGGTGATGGGGGTCTTCAGTACTGGATCTATTTGGCTAAAAGCTGGTTTTTCATTGTCCATCTGCACTGTGAAACCAGCTTATCTGAATGTGTGGTGCAGGATAACAGCATTTTGGGCTCATTCTTCTTAAGGCTAACCCTGGAAGCCTCTGGTTACAAACAAATGGGACAAAGCTCAGATCAAATCTCGTTGTACGCATGCATAATGACAATAAAGGCTTTCAATTTCAATTCAAATCAATTCAAGACGTGTTTGTGTCTTGTCTCCTTTATCTGGACCCTTTGAATCAATATTAAATTAACCTTATTAATGTTTATCCTCCACCTTTTCTTCCTTTTTTCAGGCTCTATGTGGTTAGGAGCTCATGCATCCCTTGTTTTATATATTTTGTTTGGCAGAATATTCCAAATTACTGATTTTCCTTCTGTTTCCTTCCTGAGAAACGACCCTGACAGACTCTAAACTGTACACAGGCTTGGTTAAATATGAAATATTCTGCATCCGGATTTGACAAAATGATGCCAAAGGTCCACTTTTTGCAGCTTGGAACAAAACTAGTCTGACTAGAGGAGTTTTGGGTGGAGAAACGGAAGCCTGGGCGTTTGTTTGATGCGTTTCAGTGCCATCCAGCGGCCAAAAAAAAATTATAATAATAATCAAAAGACACACCTGCTCACCTGTAACTCAAAGAGGAGGCCGGCTGCTGGCTTTGACAGTTTAAAGACTGACCCAGGGCCGGTTTCAGACCTCTGGAGAGACTTTGGAAAACTTTCTTGGAGACTTCTTTGCGCAGGGTGGCGCGCCCTGATTGGGGGCGTCAGGGGGCACCTGCGCACGCACGCACGCGCGCGGGGAAGCGTGCCCGTGGCGTGGGATTTTCTACACTTCGCCCCCGGGAATGAAATGTCTCAACCAAGTCAGACCACGCCGACAAACCTGACCGAGACCCGGCCCGTGACCAACCTGACCCTGGTGGTCCTCCTCCTGATCCCGTGCGTGGTGGTCCTGCTTCTGCTCAACTGTTTCTTCCTGGGATACAAACTCCTGCTCCTGTCCAAGAGGAGGGTGGTTCCGGAAGAGATGCGCCTGCCCAGGTTGGTGGTTTCGGACGTGGCCGGGGGCGCGTACCTGTCCGTGTCGGAGCCCGTCCTGCCGCTTCCGGTCACCTCGTCCCGGGCGTCCTCCCGGGACCGGGCCGGGATCAAGCACCGGGTCCGGCTGCTGAGACCCGACGGAGGCTCCGGTGGTTCCGGTTCGGGGTCCCTGAGGGCGCCCAGCAGCATCCGGGCCGCGTCCCCGCCCCCCGCGGACGGGTTCAGCGGCGGGGGCTGGTGGAGGAGCGCACCAAACCTGAGGCAGCCCGGAGGGTCCGGGTCCGAGAGCAGGGTCCAGCTGGTTCCGCCGAACTCCCCAACTGTGAGTGAGTCATGGAGCTTCATGCTGAGCTTTAGAGTTCCAGGCTGAGTCATTGAGTTCCATGCTGAGCTTTGGAGCTCCACAGCTCCATGCTGAGTCATGGAGCTCCCTGTTGAGTTTTGGAGCTCCACGCTGAGTCATGAAACTCCACGCTGAGCTTTGGAGCACTTTGCTGAGCTTTGGAGCTCCACGCTGAGCTTTGGAGCTCCACGCTGAGCTTTGGAGCTCTTCGCTGAGCTTTGGAGCTCCACGCTGAGCTCCACACTGAGTCATGGAGCTCCATGCTGAGCTTTAGAGCTTCACGCTGAGTCATGGAGCTCCACCTTGAGCTTTAGAGCTCCACGCTGGGTCATGGAGCTCCACGCTAAGATGTGGAGCTCAACGCTGAGCTCCACGCTGATCTTTGGAGCTCCACGCTTAGCTACATAGCTCCATGCGGAGCTCCAAAGCTCAGTATGGAGCTCCACAGTTCAGCGTGGAGCTCCAGGCTGAGCTTTGGAGCTTTAGAGCTCCAAGCTGAGTCATTGACTTCCACGCTGAGCTTTGGAGCTCCACAGCTCCATGCTGAGTCGTGGAGCTCCCCGTTGAGTTTTGGAGCTCCACGCTGAGTCATGAAACTCCACGCTGAGCTTTGGAGCACTTTGCTGAGCTTTGGAGCTCCACGCTGAGCTCCACACTGAGTCATGGAGCTCCATGCTGAGCTTTAGAGCTTCACGCTGAGTCATGGAGCTCCACCTTGAGCTTTAGAGCTCCACGCTGGGTCATGGAGCTCCACGCTAAGATGTGGAGCTCAACGCTGAGCTCCACGCTGATCTTTGGAGCTCCACGCTTAGCTACATAGCTCCATGCGGAGCTCCAAAGCTCAGCGTGGAGCTCCAGGCTGAGCTTTGGAGCTTTAGAGCTCCAGGC